GAGGTCGAGGCGGGGATCTGAGCTTAGTCTGGGAAACACAGAAACTTCATCTCAAAAGCAAACAAACAAATAGACACCAAGAATTAAGAAACTCTTACATGGTATCTACCTGCATCAGAAACCTGACAAAGTACCTGCGGAGAAGTTTTTTCTCTTACACAGAGTACTTAAAGAAAAATCCAAGCACAGACCCTCCCATGTGAAGTGGAGAACGTATTAACTGCAGAAATGTGGTAATACAAAATGCGATGGTAATAGGAAATGTAGTAGGAATTAAACAAAGATGAGTATTCTGGGAGACGGAGGCAGGAACATCACAGATTTGAGCCAACCTAGGCAACTCAACAAGACTATCTCAAAATAAGAAATAAAAAAAGGGCTGGAAATTAGCTCAGTTAAAAGGCCCTGGGTTCAATCCCCAGTACTACCAAAAAAAAAAAGCAAAGCAAAATACATAATAGTGAGCTCATTACTTTATATATTTATTATACACAGGAGGTGTTAAAAATATTCATTCTTAAAATGGTCATTTTGGGGGTGCCTAATATTTGACATGTACTGTGTTAGGTATCATACATATATAAGATACAATGTTTTCTGCTAAGAAACAAAAGCTTAATCTAAAAAAAAAAACCACAACATATCTTTATAAACTTAAATATAGCTTTTGGAACAAAACGAGAAATTTTTCTAAAAAACTGGCACTTCCTGATTGAGTGCTTCTATATATAAACAGTAATATTTCAGATGATCAAACATAGAAACACAAAGTTGCTAACTGAATACTTCAGGGATAGCTCGTGAACTACACTTCTGGTATGTTTTTCCCAAAGTCTGTTCTTATGCACAAACTTTTAAAAGCCACAAAACAAATACGTCTACTTTTGCATACTGCCTTTAACTTCTCATTTTAAAATCAGAACATCAGAGACAATCTAAATCCATCTTTTCACACATCTGAAACAGGTATCCAGCAGTGCTGCAGTAAATCTGGGGCAAAATAATGGAATAATGAGGCTGCTGCGATTAGATTAATCTTCATCGTCTCTTTGCAAAGGTATTATCTGGATTTCTCTGGCTATCCTCTCTGCTATTGCTCTGCTGTTGGCAGCAATTATTCTTCGAGACATTAAATCAAATGGTCCACCTAGGATCAAACAGAATATGGAAAACGTTATCTCCTATACAAAAATAATTTGGAAAGAACAGATACAATATTTATTATGGTCAATCCCAATAGTATTTTATTTTATTTATTAATTTTGGTGGTACCAGGGATCAAACTCAGGACCTTGTGCGTGCAAGGCAAGCAGTTATTCCACTAAGTTATTTCCCAGGCCCCTAATCATTTAATCAGCTCAATTTTTGTTTAAAAAAATTTACTGTCATTAACTACAGTGCTTAAGCTTTGGCCGTATGTAACTGAGTTTCTAAGTTTTTGGTGAATACCAGTGTGGGGGGGACCTCAACTCACACCAGTCTGAAAAATGCCTTTTTCCTTTCTATCTCTTCTGTACAGTGCTATCACCTTTTACTGCTTGAGAATCTGTCTCAGGAAATCTGTCTCGAAGTGCTTGCATACCACTCTTCCTTCCCATTTTCCAGCTGACTGTCCCCGGTAGCTGGCAAGTTCTTTTCACTAGTTTCACGCTTTAACATTTTTACCATCAGCTCAAATCAAGCATTTAAGAGTCAGTAGGATCAAAGTAGAAAGAGGTGGTGGAGGAAGTCCACTGTCACCCACCACCCACCACCCACTCCCCACTCGGAGGACTCCTGACACAGCCCTGAGATCAGTGACTGTCTGGCCTTCTCCAGTCTCTCAGGAACTCAGCCATTTGCTATTATCAGTCTCATGATCCCATTAACTCTTTTTTTTTTTTCCGGAACCGGGAACTGAACTCAGGTCCTTGGGCTTGCCAGGGAAGTGCTTATTCTTACTGAGCCATCTCCCGGCCCAACCATTAACTCTTATGCCCCTATCTCCTCACATTCATTTTGATTTTTGAGGATAATTAAACAGCTTGTTTCCATAAAGGATACACATAATATATATCAATCATTTTTAATAGCTCTATAGAGGAAGATGTAATAGATGAGAAAAAGGTGCTTTATTATCCTGTCATTTTACCTGTCACATCCATTAGGACTCCACCAGCTTCAGTGACAATAATGCCAGCTCCTGCCATGTCCCAGCAGTGGATTCCCATCTCATAGTATGCATCTGCTCCTCCAGTTGCCACAAGGCACATATTAACAGCTGCTGTTCCAACAGTCCGGATTCTAACATTTAAAATAAGATTGGAAAAAATAATCTCCATAATGAGGTACATGCCTCCTTAACTTCCGTTTATGTGTTGACTGAGGGAACTTTAACCAATCAAAGGGATAAATGTAAAGGAAAAAAAGGTCTTTGATTTTAAAATAAATACATAAAATCTAATGTGGTATACTATATAAATCACAAAACTAATTCTCACAAAACCATCATGTAGTAAACATTAAAACAAATTTTCAGAAAAAAAAAAAGAAAAGCTGTACAAGAATAATTGTTTTTAAAACTTTCAAGCTGCCGAGCTCAGTAACTGCTTCAAGGCTCTGCAGTTACTGTCTTGACCCCCGTAAGCACGAGAGCGCAGCCGAGCATGCAGGATGCCTGACTGGAGGGAGCTTCCCGACCTCTCCCTGCTAGGTAATCGGAGCTGCCAGACCGCTGGTCTCGCCTTTAGCCTCCTGCTAGTACATCATGCAAAGATACCAGCCTGGTGCCCGGCACTCCCTCCTCAGACTCACTGTGCTGCAACACTACTATGGCTACTCCTGGGCGTGTGGCAGACACCTCTGAGGTGTGACAGCCTCCGCAGGTTCTGCCCAGACCTGGGGCCACCCTGGCAGACGACTTCAGTGTCGCCTTCTCATAACACCTATCCTTGGGAAACATATCAGGTTAAAATAAGCATGTGTACCCTGGAGAGCCATTTCAGCAACAATGGACTCTGAGAAGAACCATTAACAAATGCCAAAATGAGTGAGTAAAGGTTTAATATTTCCATAATGTCCTAATAGTCCCCAACAGGACACATAATAATTTCAATGGGAAAAACAACCTCTTTAGAATGGTCTACTGCTTCCCAGTGCCCAAGGTTAGTATCACTCATACTGGGACAAGTATCGCATCCCTCCTGATCTGACAGTATTGAGGGGGAAAAAACCTGACTTTTGTGGCATTCCTATGAAAGACGCATAACCCAAACAAAAGGAAATGAAACAAACAACTGAAGAGATCATCTCAAAACAACTGGCTTATGTTTTTCAAAAATTTCAAAATCACAGAAGACAGACTATGCAACTCTTCTACGCTAAAGGAAACTAGAAAAATGACAACTAAATTAACACATGATTGGACATCAGATTACAATATTTTCAGAATTTAAAGAAAGTATCAATACTAGCTTAAATGTTAATTTCCTGGTTTTATAACTGTATGACAGTTACATTAGACAATGCGTTTATTCAGGAGAAAGGAGTCATTATATCTGGAAGTTTCTTTCCAATGGTTTTTACAAAAACTTTTTTTGTAACTAAACCTCTTGAAACAAGGCAGTGAGTTCTGCTCACCAAGATGTTTCACAATTCATTTTTATAAAAATAATGGCACATTGGTAATTACACAGTATTTTTTACTGCAGCTAAAAAGTAAACTCCTTTCTATTCAAGTGATTTTTTAAAAATTAGAAAGACATAGTATCTTTGGTGTAAGTTTTTCAGCTTGTGTTTGTGACACATCAAATTTAAGACAAAATTAGCAAGTACAATCAATGTTTATATAGTTGTTTCCCCAATAAATAAATTTTGTGTCCTTTATTGTAGTTTAGAAAGACAGATGTATTCTCTCCCTTCTCACATGGGAATCTGACCACCCCAAATTAATTTTGTCTCACAAGTATTTCTCAGGAACCTATTACATTATTTCTACTTGTTTAAGGAATTTATCCAGATTACGGCTCTCTGTTCTCATTTTGTTTTGCAGAAATAATCCTGAAAACACAAGGAAAGTTTGAAGAATCAGCTAAATGCAACGATCGTTTATAGCTCATGTTCTAGAAAATCTCAAGACCTCTGGCAATTTATTTTTTTTATTTTTTGTATTTTAGGGAAGGGTCTACAGGGTGTTCAGGGTCTCACTACTAGATCGTACTTGTAGTGATCCTCCTGTTTACAGCCTCCCAAGAGCTGGGATTATAGGCGCCTGCCACCAAGCCCAGTCTCAGTGTGCCCTGGGGGGATATAAAAACAAGGTATAAAAAGTAAAGCCATATTAATATGAGTTGTAAAAGGCTCAAGTCAACAATGTCTGACATTGAAGTCATGCAGATAATCCAATACTATTATAGACTAATGGACTATATTGGATTACTTTGATGAATTCACGAACCTACAATATATGAATGGTGATGGAATACCCATCTCTGACAAAAGTTAACAAAAAAGGGGGATATAAATGAAGGACCATTTTGTGGTGAAAAATAAAATATATATGTATATACAAAATAGTTAGCATACATATACAACTATTTTCTCTTAGTTTACTGAGGTTTTGAACTAACAGTATTTAGACAAGATATCATGTCTGCATCTTGTACTATGACTACTACAAAGACAACAATATGCAATGTATTAATTATTGTAACTGTCCTACTAACTTGTTTTGAAACTCTCATTACTACTTCTCAGTAAAATAAAAACATATAACTATGAACTACAGAAGTGAGTATCACTATTTGTACAACATAAAATGAAAGAGAAGTAAAAAGAAATGATGTGTAATACTTACTCTGAAATGATTCAGGGAATACAGATATGCACACAGACACACATACACATTATGATAAAATGATGAGGCTAAAATGTTAGCAGTTAAGTCTGGGTGAAAAGTGTACTATTATCCTAGTAGTTTGGGAAGCTAAAGCAGGAAGATCTCAAGTTCAAGCGCAGTTCGGGCAACTGAGTGGGAACCTGGACCCAAATACAAAGTGTCTGGGGATACAGGAGAGGCTCTGGTTCAATCTCCAACAAGAGCAACAACAAAAACGTGTACTATTATTGTTTATACTATTTTATTTTGACACTTTTTGTTACGTGTGGAATTACTTTTTCATTTTCAAGTAAAAGATTTCAAAGTTATACCACAAAATTAGTACATGGTACAGAGGCAGTGTTGGTTAAAATTTTAATTTGTAGAAGAAAATTCACACTTTAACAAAGTTAAATTATATGCAACTTTAGGTGGAAAAAGAAAAGAGCTTACCCATGAATGGGAATAGCAAAAAGCTTTTCCATATTGGAAAGAATGACTCTGACAGTCTCTGGTGTTCTGGAAGACCCCATCTCAGTCACCAAGAGTGATTTGCTAATATCTGGAAAAGAAATGTTTTAAATAAACACTACATTCTAGAAAAATCTGACACATGTAATTCAGAATAAAACAGAACATTCATGTCCCTCTTTCTAGTTTTATCATTTTTTTTCTAAACTTTAAAATATTAAAGTTATTTATCCTCAAGTAATAATTTTATTACCAAAACATTGTTTTTTAAGACTATTACCCAAAGTATGCAGCATACAACCAGGTGGTCTGTGTGTACACCTTTAGAGAGGAATGAATACGTCTCTTAAAGTAGAAATTGTAAGTTCAATTCTATAAGGAATTTATGTACCTCAGTTCAGGTGGTGTCTCTCTGATCTGACCTCCATTTTACTGAGATGACAGACTATCCAGGACTTTGTGCTCCCCTTTAGAATTCTCAGGATTGAATCTCTCCACAATTCAACATGCTCCACTCCTCAGCCACTCCCACGAGGTAAGGCGTTTGCTGGACAGCTCTTTGTTCCCTATGTGTTTATAACTGTTATACTACTTTTAATTGCTACACTACTTAATTCTTTTTTTTTTTTTTTAATGTGTGTGGTACAGGGTCTCACTATGCAACTTGGGGTCGTAGTGATCCTCCAGTCTCAGCCTTCCCAGTGCTGGGACTACAAGCGTGCACCACCACGCCTGGTTTCTGTGGCCCACTCAGCTCGCTTGGAGGCAGGGCCAGCATGGCATGCGGTGCCAGGGATCAAGCCCTAGTCTCTGTGCCTCAGCAGGTGCTTAGTCCGCTGAGCTATCTCATCAGTCCTCACACTACTTAATTAAAAGAGAAACAATTAAGGCCTGGGGATCTAGCACGGTGACAGAGCACCTGCCTAACAAGCATGAGGCCCCAGGTTCAAGTCCCAGCACCACGAAACGAACAAACACATGAAAAATGATTGTATAAAGCAAAAAGCCGTTTCCATGAAGAGCTACCACATTCTTTCAGTTCAAAGATGTACTGTCTTTCACACATGAATATCTCAAAAACAGGATGTATCATCCAAGTTGTGTGGCCCTAGATTTCAATGAAAACAAAAACTTTAAAATCTGCTCTCAAGTTAAGTGTGTGAGGGGAAAGATCACAAAAGGCTAAAATGATTCTGACTTCTGCTGCAACTATTTTTAAGTTCTTGCTATATTAATGAATGTGAAAGTACACACTATGGGCAACGTTGGGTGTGGCTTCCCAAAGAGGTCCCTCTAAACTTCAGCAGCTGTGGCACCTTAGATGCCAGTCATCTGCTCACAAAAAATCTGGTCAGGTTTTGAACCTGAAAGTCCCACTGCTCTAGAATTAACAATCCCAAATTGAAGTACTCCTCCCCATAACTGCCCCTGTATGAATGGGCACAGACTGTCCTTTCCGTTATTCCTAAGTACCATAGTCTAACAATTACACAGCACACACACTGTATTAGGGACTACAAATAACCTAGAGATGACTTTATATATGAGTATGTGGGCAGGTTATATGCAATTATGGCATCATTTTCTGTAAGGTCCTTGGATGTACATTGATTCTGGGGTCAGCAGGGGGTCTTGCAACCAATCTGTGGCTACAGAGGGATAACTATCATTAACTGTCCTCAGTTTTAACACTCTTTACTTTCAAATTACTAACGGTTGATCTAAAATGGCATCAGGCCAGGGGAATTCTATGACAAATCTGCGATGCTGAGGCTAAAGCGGGTCTTAGTCAACTTCCTTTCTCCATCACTGAGTTCACTGTTGAACTACAAATGTTATGTGCTCAATTTCATTTGTTTTTCCTATTCTATCATCACATTCAAAACTGAAGTCAAAATACCAAAGAAAGAAGAAAATAACCACAATTTATGAATCAGTCGATATTTGGAGAGCTCCAAGGTAGTCATGAGAAGCTATAAAACATGAATCTATGGGACCAATTTCACCAAAATTTGCAAGCCAGACCTACCATCTTGCTTCGAAACTTGTAGTTTTTGGCCGTTACAAAAGGCACCTTTTCCTTTCCTGCCAGTATACATCTTATCTTCCACACAACTGTACACAACTCCAAATTCCATCTGCAGAGGAAAAACAAGTTTCCTTTACCAAACCTAAGTATTGTTCTCCATTAAACCATTTTTTTCCAGCACTATATAACAAAACATAGTATACTGATGAACAGTACTCAAACAGCTAAACTGTTGGATACATAAAATGTTTATTTCCAGCCTAAACAGAGGAAAAGGTCATCAGACAATTCTTGAGTCTACTCACACCTGTGTCTAGACTTAGAGCACCTACCTTACCTCTCTAACCTCACTGTAGGACTACATTCCTATAAAAATGAACACTGTGTTAGGATTCCTACTCTCCAACCCATTCCCTGGAAAACTTTCACAGGTCCCTTTTCTCTTAGACTTCTCTTCTGGAACGTTCTCACCAAGTTTCTCCCTCCCTTACAGCTATGGTTTGAATGTCTGTCTCCTCCAACACATGTTGAAATTTAACTGCCAATGTGATGGCATTGGGAGATGGGGCTGATGGGGCCTTTAAGAGGTGATGGCTGGGTTTCCTGCCTTCAGGGTTTGTGGGATTATGCTCTCAGCCCTTCTGCTTTCTGCCACAGAGAGGAGAGAGAAGATTCAGCTTTTCTCCCCTTTGGAGGATGTAGCACATGAGAAGCCATATTGGAAGATAATGGGCTAACTAGGTAGTGAATCCACCACTTTGTTGACTTTAAACCTTCCAGCGTCCAGAATTGTGAGCCAACACACTTCTGCTCATTATAAATTCCCTAGTCTGAGCTGTTATGACACAGCACAATCAAAGACGCTGTAAAACCTTTCTCCCTCTTCACTGTCAAAGAGTAGTCTACACTTTCCATCTCTTAATCACTTGCTATGCTAAATTTGGATTCAGCCCTGATCATACATTTTTCTGACACTCCTAGGCAAAGAGAACCAGTTAAATCTTACTAAATCATTCATGTACTATGACACCATGTTTCTATTTTTCACTGACTTTCACCCACAAGGGCATCTCAGTACATTTTTCTGAACCTTTTTCTCTGACTTGTGCTTAAAAGTTGCATATCTTGAGCTTCTTTTCCTTCTTCTGTTGCTTCCTCTTCCCATTTTCTTTCTATATTCTTACAGGCTATTCCTTTCCAGTCCACAAATCCACCCACCATGAATAATTCTGGCTTCTACGTGCTGCATGAATACAGGTAAGAACATATGCTCTGGACCCTAGACTTGCAGATATCTCATTCAAAGTGACCAAAACCAAGTTTACTGCTTCAAATGTTCTTTCTTATGAAAATGCTCTCCTTATCCTTTGTTTATTGGGCAAACCCCTAATTTTCTAAGTATCAACTCATATATAACTCTTATTATAAAGATTGCCCCAGCTCACGAGTGGGAGAACTGTTTAGATCTCCAATGTATTCCACGGTATTGTTTCCATGGTTCCACCACATGCTATTTACCTGTTCACAGAACTGACTTAGCACTCAACTACATGTCCCTGAAGGCACAGCATGTAGCCCCGGCTGACTACACGCTACTTATTCACTTAGCTCCTCTGGAAGGTGCTCATTGATTAACACAGCAACGCAGTGAAGCCTTCATTGGTACTAATTTGTGTCCTTTTCAGGTATTTCTCAAATGTTTTGCTTACAGGCTGGTCAAAGACATCACATGCTCCTTGAAGACACGAGTGTAAGATGTTAGTAAACATCCCTCACTGTTTAGCTAGCCAGATAGTCAAATGGCAAAGAAATGCAATAGGTAGATTTTACCCAAGTATTCAATTATATTTAAGTGCCTAAGCACACTCTGTATTTTCCAATCGGATTTTGGCTCCCGCCACTTCCTGCTTAGAATGCCTGTCCTCACTGACACTATTAAAACATTACTAGCTCAAATCCATTTCTTTTGAAAAGTATTTTAGATCACACCAAAAAAATAATAGTGATTTAGGTACTGAGCTGTATCTCATTTCTTGTATGTACCTTCTTATTACTCCTGCTTCTCGGAAAACACTGCATTCAAAGAATGTATATGAACTTGAATATAGATAAATCTAACAATTCCTATCATGTCTATGACATAAACAGTGATTAGGTATTGTGTTGTATTTTATTTCCTGTATGTACTTTCTCCTTATAACTCTTGATTCTCAGAAAACAATGCATTCAAAGAATGTATGAATTTGAATATAGACAAATCTAAATCTATTAATTTGAACATAGAGACAAATTAAACTTATTATAGACACATTTACTCTTCTCAGAATACGACAGAAACGTACTTTATGAATCATACATTTAAAACAACATACCTTTTTATTTACAACAAAGCCAATCGAAACAGCTACAAAAGGAAATCTTTAAAAAAGAGACAAAACCCAAAAATTTACCAAGACAGAACTCAATTTCAATAAAATTCACTTTTTATAAGTGCTTCCCGTTTTCATATACAGTCTCATCCCTCCTCCCCCAATGAAGTAATACGCAGCAGTTTGTAGTACGTGTAAGTGGAAGGAAAGGAGGAAGCGGTACACGCAACACAAGTACACTCCTAGGTACACGATGCGTCTGCAGGAATGAGGCTCATCTGAAAGGATTCCCAAGAAAGTAACACTGGCCATTTCTAGACACAAATCTTCAGAAACTGAGGTAGACAAGGGGGAGGTATATTTTGTACTGCATGTTCTTTTATAACTGTTGAATGTCCAGTGTTGGGAACATAGCAGTGTTGGGAACATGTAAAAAGAAAAAAAAAAATAAAAAACCTTTTTTAAATAAAAATAAGCCAGATGGTGTATTCTGGGAGGCTGAGGCGCAAGCATCACAAGTTCAAACTTGGCCTGAGTACCTTAATGACTTAAGGAGACACTGTCACAAAATAAAAGGTAAGAAAGAAGTGTGGGGAAAGGCCAGAGCAAAGGCCTTGGGTTTAACTCCAGTACTACAAAAACAAACAAACAAAAAAAACCCACTAAAAATAAATTGAAAAAAAGTTTTAAATTGATCATAGATCTCCAGAACAAAATACTCCTTTTTCTGTTTACTTCCTCACACTGTAGCTTGGTCCTGTGGTAAACTGGGGAACAGAAAAAAAACTGTTACTTGTCTCCACTCCAACACCAAACTTGGAGCTTTACAAAATTAAAAGAAAATTGGCAGCTACAGTAATTTCTATGGCTGCCTGACAGTTAACAGTTCGAAATTCTGAGTAAAGAAAATAAGACTGAAGAACACCAAGTTCAACCTAACTATTTAAAACAAAAACTCTTAAAGAATTCACATTTGAGGTTTTAATTTAACAAAACAGAGTCACCCTGCACAGTCTTAACCTTTATTTATTTATTTATTTATTTATTTATTTATTTGCAGAACCGGGGATTGAACTCAGGCCCTTGCACTTGCCAGAGAAGTGCTTATTCCACTGAGCCATCTCCCCGGCCCCTTAACCTTTAATATTATAATACACCCTGAGCTGCCTTCCACACTTAAAAGATATAACATTCTATCACAGATTCTAGACCTTAGCTTTGTGGACTTTAGCGATTCCCTATGTAGCAGATACACACTGTTACATCTCCAGTGCAAATATAACATCTGTATTCAAGCCCACCAAACTAGGTATGAGCTTGCCACTCCCACCAGCAAGTCCATCAAGTTTCTTCTAGTGACAACACACTCGGTTATAACAGACTTACTCTGTGCGAGACACTCCATTACGTTCTTGTACAATGGACTACGTAGGGAGTCCCAACCATAAATAATTACACGAGGCAGGTACCTACCACGACAGTGGCCACTTTATATATATTTTTAAAACGGAGGTTTCAAAGACTCATTAATTTGCACGAGGTCACACAACCAATACAAGACAATGCATCAATATTCAAGTCAAGTCTGCTGATTCTCAAATCGCAGAAATCTCATATTTTTCTCCTAGATGAAAGTTACCTGACATGGACAGTGCTCGCCTAGTGACCTCATTAGTTACATGTTAATCTCGTGGCACTTCACAGGCCAAGCCAAGCCCCAGACCTCATGCCCTCTTCACCTCCTCCTCATGTGACATATGGTCTTCCGCATGCTGTGGTGCTCTACTGTTAACATTTTCTATGCACTTTCTGAGGCCTAAGGCATACGTTATACAATTCCCTTCAGTGTAAATGTTCCTCCACTGAGTCCCCTAAAGGTCTATCCAGGTAGTAACCAGTAATGACATTAACAGTTTAGAAGCATACCTGTGTACAAAGTTAGTGGTTCCATCAATAGGGTCAATGATCCATGTGGGGTTGTCAGTTAAGATGCTCTTTTCCCCTGCTGCCACAGATTCCTCACCAATGAAACTAAAAGTAAGAAAGACAAATTAACCTCTGTATTGCTCTCAACCACTTCAAACCTTAGCTACCGAGTCTACTACAAAACATAATCCAAGTTGGTACACTATATTTTTCCTATTTTCTTTCTGTAGAAACTGACACAAGTGACAATGGTTTATTTCTCCCAGAGCAAAGGCCTGAGAAGTTACAATCCCAGGGCAACTCATGGCACACATGAACGCACTTATGTGGTCCTGAAAAGCATGTTTATAGCCGATGTGAAGTCATTAAGGAATTGTGGGAAATGCACACGCTCTCAGGACACTCCTCCTTTTTAAATCATGGAGCCTAGAGCTCCTTGTGTGTGCGCTGAGACACAGTGATTTATTCTAACTAACAGGAAGTGGAGGCAACTTCTGGAGACTAGCTCACAGAAATAGTCCCGCAGTTTCTATCTTGTTCTTTCTCCTGTCCTAGCCCGTGCTGTGAGCTGGGGTAAGAAGTGCTCTTTGTGGACTGCAGGTAGCCGCTGGCAGAAAAGCCCCAAGGAGATGAAGCTGCCAACAATCACGGAAGTGAATGGTCCTTCTAGCCCTCTCAAGCCCTGCCTTGACTGCACTGTAACAGTCTGACTGTCACTCCTTTGTGAGGTGCTGGCCACAGCCACACAGCTGAATGACTCCCACACTCCTATCCCAGGGAAACTGCAAGATAGTAAGTCTGCAGTCTAGGACTCTAGGTTTCTAGGCTTTGCAGTAAAAGATAACTGACACACAGAACACCAAATACATTAATGAGAAAGCAAATTACCCACCAAAATTACTGTGTGCACGTATCTTCCTAGAACATTCTATAAGCTCTACATAAAACGTCAGCAATGGTGCCTAAGTGTACTGGCTTTTAACTTTCCACTTCGTTTATTTTCCATTATTCAAAAATGAACTGTCTTAATGCTTTTTCAGGGCTGCTTTTATCTTATGCTCTTGGCTGGGGACCTTTTCCTTGGGAGGAAGTATATGCAGCCATGGCTCATTCTTCCCAGTGGCTGAAAGACCAGGAGTCAGCAAAGGCCCGACATGGGAGCAGCACAGACGGGACGTGAACCTGTGGAGGTGATAGCAGCAATTCTGTGCCTGCTAGAGAGCCCTGACCTCCGGATTTTCTCCCCAGCTTCTTAAAACCACCTCTACTCTGCCACACTGAAAAGCCTGCAATACAGTGAGCATCACTAAACTTTTAAAACATGCCTGTGTCGAGGGTCTGCCTGCCAGCACCCAAACACTCCTCTCATTATGGAGGAATCCAAACATGCCCTCTTCTCCGATCCCTGGTACCTTGAGCACAGGAAACCACTGGGCTCCGCAGCAAGCTCCTGCCCAGACTCTGTAACCTTAAACTAATGATATGAAAGATACAAGTTGGTTAGAAAGGACTGCTGTGGTTTGATTTTTTGAGACAAGTTTTACTATGTAGTTCAGACTGGTTTTGAACTCCCTATTTAGCCCTAGGTGGCTTTGAACTGATGGCGATCCTCCTGCCTCAGCCTTCCAAGTGCTGGGATTACAGGTGTGCGCAACTGCTGTTAGCAAGTATTTAAAAGCATCAGTCTAGAGGATGACCACGAGTGCCATACTAAGCAACAGCTCCTGGGTCACCTCTAGGTACAACTTCCCCCCTCAAAGGGTCCTGAGCCGCCCAACTCACTGAAGCCAAACTCCCTCTCAGCTTCAGTTAACTCTATCAGGACTCAAAACTGTAGCCTAATACAGGCTTAATTTTATCATTTGAAATTGATGTAAGAAAAATACCTGTGAGATGGATACTTCTCCTTTATGGAAGAGATGAGCATTTTTTCAACTTTCTGGTCAGTAGCGGTTACCAAATCGGCTGGAGAACTTTTAATCATTACATTCATTTCTTTTTTTAGAGCTTCACGAATCACCTAAGATGATTTTTGGTAAGCAAACAGAGTAAGTTTAAGGTATTTTACAGCAAACAAAAAGATAAAAAATATACAAATGCTTTAAAACATTTCATCTGTCTTAAGTGTTATTCATAAAAATTACTTACGTCTTATAAAATAAGCTTTAGGGGGCCTGCCCCTTAGCTCAGTTCTTTAAGTGGCTGCTTCAATAAAGCAGTCAGGCTCAGGTTGCTGTGGTTCCATCCCCACAACTCAAGCCAGCCAAACCTGCCCTGAAGGCATTTGGAGCCAAAAAAAAAAAAAAGTCCTTCTGTTAAAATAAGCTTTAATAGTTATGTCCTCCTTCTAAACACAAAATCAGGTAGTATTATATTCTATTTTTGGATGCACAACTGTCACCATAAAAGCTTTAATAACATAAAACTGAAATATTCACTCCAGCTAAAAGTTCTACTGAAATGAAGACAAATGTAGATGAAGCAAATGTACGTTTAACGGTACAGTCTGTACCCAGCACATCTGGGCCGAGAACGTCTGAGTTCTTACCTCTCCAGCCTGTCTTGCTAGCGTTACTGCATAATCCATGCACTCCTGCCAAGGGTCCGCCATCTTCGGAGTATACTGAACACATACAAGCAGAGGGGTTAGCATCGCTCAAAATCTTAATTACATCTCAATTAGCAACAGACTATTATTTCATGATTCCCCACTCTTATTTTAGTATTTGATCTTCTTTCTCATGAATTATTCATATATGCAGTTAAAAAAAATTAACCTAATACAGCATTCACTTATACCAAAGAAACAGCTTCATAATGAAAGTATTCTGTGGAATCGTCTCCCAAAGAATCCATCTTACATCACATAAAAAAAGAAAGAAAATCGTTGGTTTAGGGAAGGAGGAAGAAAGGACAAGAAGTATTTAAAAGGTAGTATATATACTTCAGGAAATAAGAGAAAAGACACCGGGAATACCAATGAGAAGCTACGAAGCAGAGTGAAAGCCACAGGTACTCACCGAGTGCCAGGCGGCTAGGTGTGCCACATGTGATTTTTTTTTTTAGTAAGCTTTTAAAATTGAAGGTTCAAAAGGGAAATATTAAGGTTCAAAGGTGAAAAATAATTTGCCCACTGTGATACAGACAAATAACGGATTTCTGAGCTCTATCCTGACTTTCAGGTTCCTTGCTCTTTCTACGTTCTGAGGACTTCCCTGAATTTCAGAAAGGGGAAAAAACCAGCCTAGTTGTGTACAGAGACCTGCCTAGCTTTCCACTCACTTCTGATGACTCACGACTGGCCTGACCACACTCCAAAGTCTGCACCTAGCACCCAGAAGCATGTCAACAGCTGTCTCCACAACGTGACACTCTTCAGAAAGCCACCCTCATGCTGTCACTTTTCCAATAACTGATGGATTCTGAAGACTGCTCAGAAATCCCTACAGTGCTTCACAGTATAAGAAAGGGGACAGAAGGGCAGGGGAAGGCAAAAGACAGTCAGTCTCCGTGGCTGCCTTTTCTTCCTGATGCAAGCATGTAGGTGATTCTTAAAAGGAGACCACTTTTTCAGTTGGGAACACAGCAACCTCCTTGAGAATGGTTTCCCAGCCTTTCTCCGGCCTGCTCGCCACCCCTCTGCCTCTACAATCAGAGCCTGAAGTGCCTGGGCTGTGTGTGCTTCCTGCTCAGATGCTCTGCTCAAGCCGCTCACTCTCCATCTGCTCACAGCCCTGAATCACTCACACCGATGCTTCAAGGCCTATTTCAAAAGTCTCTCTTCTGCGATTTTCCAGCCAAAATTGTTTACTCACTAGACAGTGGCTGAATACTTACCCTGCTGTACACAGCACCACAGTGGGGAAAACCAGGTCCCATTTGCACTTAATTTCTGGTGGGGACTCAGATTTAAGAGAAAAACAGGTAGATGGTTGTTCAAAAAGAAAGGGGTGGTGAATGAAAGCAAGAGACAGGAAAAGGAATATTGTGGGACTGTCCTGCTTCAAGGTTGTATATGGTGAGATTTTTGGACTTATGTGTAAACATAAGAATTATATAACTCTTTATGCCTATTTTTAAAATATATTCTAATTTTTAAATGTTTTTTTTTTATCATATTCTGTAGGGACTTAAAGTTCAACATATCAATACTTGATGAAAAATACCTGTTCCATGTTATGCCTAAGATGTTTGATATTCAGATAGATAGTGAAGTTAAGCTTAACAGCCTAGGTTGTATGGTAATAACAATAAGCTTGTCTTCTGGATGGTTAACAACCTAAGTTTGCAGACCAAAATTAGAGAAAAAGGAGGGCTACAAGGAAAGCCAACATTTTGGCCCTAGCTTTCCAAGGTCAATTAAGACTCAGGACATATGAGAACTTGTACTGTAATGTCATGGAACTCGGTAGAGTCCCTAATTTTCTGGTCAAGGAGATTAGGGGGCCAAAGAGGAAAGTGATCAATGATGTAGAGTGTGCCTAAGAAGAGTCACATGGAGAGAAAACATTCTCTCAGGCTTTCACAGAGAGCACATTGGCCAAGCAATGGCTGTGACTCAACCACATGGCTGACACTGTCAAAGCTTCTACCATCTGAGGTAAAGGATCTCAGGATAAATCCTGAGGAGATTTCACTGACCTTACCAGACCCAAAAGCTACAACTCTTGTTGCATAGGTCCTGCTTTACCTTGGTCTTAACCATCCAGCAGAAAAGTATAAAAACGAAATATAAGAAGTAAAGCCATGCTGTTATGTTGAGCTGTAGGGGACTCAGGTCAACAATTTCTGACATTGCCAGTCAAGCAGAAGCCCCAATACTATTATGGACTACTGGAATCTTTTAGAATATTTTGCTGAGTTAACACATCTATAATATTCAAATAATGGCACTAAACAAAAAAAAAAAGGATATAGATGAATGTCCATTTTGTATCTGTGTATTCAAAATGGTTAGGATATATAGTTATATTCTCTTAATGAATAGAGGGATTTGTTCTAATGGTGTTTGTAAATAGGATATCATGTCTGCATCTTGTACAGCAATTAACCACTTGGAAGAATGTATGCAATGTGTTAATTATTGAAACTGTCCTACCAATTTGGTTTGAAACTGTCTCATCGCTATTTGTTTCTCAATAAAATTATGGGAAAAAAAAAAAGAGAGAAAAAAATCAAGTACTATTCTAATGGAATGAGAAAGACGCAGCAGGGGAGTTTTGACTGGACTCAGGCAGCCGATAAAGTTTCCTTGAGAATGAGACCAAATCAATATGTGAAGGAGGAGCAAATACTCAACTGTAGGCTTCTTGGTACCTGAAAGCCACAAGCATGATGGCTCAGGGGAGATGGAGAGGGGCAAAGCTGGGGAAGGCAGTAAGAATCATCCTTTTCCAGGCTGTAGACTGAACAGAACAACTGGAAGGTGGAGGGAAGGGTAAAAAATGGGTACAGGCAGGCAGCTTACCAAATTTAGAAAGATTTTTTTTTTTGGCAGGCTCAGGCGGCTTTAAGGGCAGTTCTGGTAAGGCATGAGGATCTAAGGATCGAACCACAGAATCCTGAGCCTGACTGCTTTTTCAGCTTACCAAATTTAAATTCGGGATGCAATACTTGTGAGACGACCCAGAAGTTGGCTTACCCCTTGAAAGGGGGCTTGGAGGCAGAAAGACTGTGAGAGTTGAGGTGCCTGCTCAGAGGATCAAACCAGGGGGACTTGGCAACAGAGTGCACATAGGTATGGAGATGAGGACTCCAAAGATGACCAGATTTCTGCTCTGGCAACCTAATCAATAATGAGATCCACTGCAAAAGGAAGCAACTGAAGTCAAGTTTCGGATCCGGTTAAGAGATACAAAGCTCAACGCTTTAATTCCTGGGATGGGAGCGCTGTGTAAAATCACAAGGTGATGCCAAGGAGGAAGCAAAGTACAGACAGATAAGGCCTGAGTTCAGAGAAGAGGTAAGGCCCACAGATTGAAATACGAAGTCCTCTGAATGGGCAGCTATGGAGGTTCTGAGTCCGAATGACATTCCTAGAATCATGAGCCTTGGCCTGGGAACTCACAGAGCTTGTACAACACCTTTAGAACCCTTGGTGATGTCCTAGAGGGACATTCCAGCCGTCTGTGGACATGCTGTATATTCTCAACCACTACTGAATAAATTTTCTTTTTTGGGTACCGGAATCAAGCTAATGAGCTTGCATTTGTGCCGCTGAGCTACATCTCCGGCCCCTGAACACATTCCTTGACAAATGGGGCTAAAAAGAGAAATTATGTGAAGTCCTAAGATTAATCACAAGAGCCAGAGCGATGAGATTAAGGAAGTGCATTACCCCTTGAAAGGGGCCTTTGTAGGCAGAACGACTCTGAGAGACATGTTTACAGGCATGGGGTGTGAGGCAACAAAAAGACTGCTCATGCCGAAACCTAAAATTCTTTCTGCTGGACGTCTCAGGTCTGTTTGTCTAAATGTTCCCTAGCCTTGCTCCCGGCTGTTTTCGGAAACTTGTCCCGGGTCCTGGTTCTTTCTCTGCTTAGCATCTGTAAATGACTTACTTAGTAAGTCCTTTTATTTCAGAGATATTTTTTACTTTTCTTTTTCTTTTTTCTTTTTTTTTTTTTTTTTTTTTTTTTTTTTTTTTTTTTTTTTTTTTTTGGTCTCAAGAACGCTGGTACACAAAGGTCCCTATTTTATGATCCTGCTCTTTTCCAAAGCTATAAATCCTAAAACTGCCGGGAAGATAGCTCAGTAGAATAAGCGCTTCCCTAGCAAGTGCAAGGGCTGAGTTCAATCCCCGGTTCCGCAAAAAATAAGTAAGTAAGTAAATAAATAAACAGAAATCCTGAAACGTCTCTCAACGCCTGGGTCCCGGCCAGCCTTCCTCTCCATCCCCAGCCCTCAGGGCAGCATGGGGCCCGGGACCCTGCTCCACGAGGGATCTGCGGCTTCAGGACTCCGGCCTGGGTCCGTAAAATGCAAACGTGGCAGTTACTGCCCCAGCTCCCCCAGGGGTTAAGTAACATCGCGTGGGTGAAACCGCAGCACCAAGGCTGAGGCTGCTCCGGCTGTCGCCCGGGGCGAAGCGGCCCCGGGGCCCGGAGATCGCGGCCGCCCCCTCCCGGCACGCCCCCCTGCGGCCGCCGCGCCCGCCGGCCCAGAACCGCCGCCCCTCACCCCGCGCCCGCCGGACCCGCCAGACCCGCCGGAGGGCGGTGAGGGATGGCAAGAATAAGGCCGGTCTCACCTCGGGTTGGAGGACGATGCGTTCGCTCAGCAGCCGGGGATACCCGAGGACCAGTTCTTCCGGACGCGGAGGGCCGCCGGCAGGAAGTTCCGCCCGCAAGGCCTCCGGGGGCGTGGTTATCTGAGGCCCCGCCCACTCACGAGCAAGCCGGGAGCTCCCTCCTGCGCAGGCTGCTCTACTCTACTGCCTGGACTTGGCTCGCCAAACCCGGCATCTCTTTTCTTGTCTTATTTTCTCCTGCTTGTCCTTTCTTCTCCAAGAACGCCTTTCCTTTTTATTTTGCTCACACCTTTCTTCCAATTTTGCACTTTTTCCGTTTCTCTTTCTCACATTTGTTGCATACTACTTACTACTTGATAAAGCATACATTGGATTTATGACTCCGGTTATGCAGCGCTAGTTTGCTGAACTGATACCAGTAAATAAAAAGAAACAGGAAATAAAAAGAAAAACAATAAAGAACCAGCCCCAACTGTTCCGGGTCTTCACAGTTCACTTAGCTCTCCTTTGTTAACTTGGGTGCTTCAGGCAATTGTGTTTTCATGTGCTTTAATTTAAACGTTGCAAAAGTTCCACGAAGATATGATTCGCTTCATCAGAAACGTGAGCCTAAGGGCTCAGTGAAGTTAGATGATTCATCCACCGTGAGAGCCCAGAGTGGAAGGTATATGCTGGCTGCAAAGTCCACTGGGCAGGGATAAATTCGGTGCAAAATGTTACATTGCAGAAGGACTGCACCAAAGTCCTTAAATGTTTCCTCTTCCTGAAATAGCAGATCTGGCACCACACAAGGTATATTACCATAATGTCCAAAGCGCTGCCCAGATAGAAGATGTCCTATCCACAAAAGGACCAGAAAAGTGGGTCATGTGGCGCCTTTCTTCTGAAATGATTGTTTCCATTAATCAAGCAAGACAAGGTGCTGTGACCAGTGTGAAACACGCGTCAGAGACAAAAAGATGTGAATGGTGGACCCAGTGTGCAGACTTCAGGGAGCTAGAAAGTTGCCAACATTTTTCTGAAAATGATGCCTTAAGAATCTCATTTGACGAGATAGCTCAGTGGTCTAAAGCTCCTGCTTAGGCCAGCTTAGGCAGGTGCAGGGGACCACAGCTGGGTCCCAGGCACCACATGCTGTACCAGTCCTGCCCTTAGGGTGGGCTGAGCCGGCCAAAAGAAAAAAAAAAAAAATCTGATATTTGTTGGTGGCCCACACTTGTAATTCTAGCTGCTCAGAAAGGAGGGTGAGGTAGGATTACACTTCGACACTGTCTCAAAGTTAAATTACAATAAAAAATAAAAAAGGATAGGCACGTGGCTCAGTGATAAAACACCCCAGATTCAATCTTCAGTAAAGGGGGTAAAAAAAGAAAAAAAAAAAAAAAAAGAGAGAAAGAATCTGATTTTGCTATCTCCATTTGCCTATCGAACGATAATTTGCTTTCTTGATTTTAAAGAAAGGCATTAGAAACTACTTTTTGATTCTTCATTATGAATCAGGTTAAAAAATCCTGCCAAGGGGCCAGGGAGATGGCTCAGTAGAATAAGCGCTTGCCTGGCAAGTGCAAAGACCTGAGTTCAATCCTCAGTTCTGCCAAATAAATAAAAATCTTGCCAAACACATCCTCAAAAGTACTGATGTATAACCTCATGAACATTTTCAGACATTTACAGAAATATCAGTCCTCTTCAAATCTTTTTTTAAAGTAAAAATGATTTGGCAAAACTGCTAAAGCACTGTAAACAATTGTAGATAGATACAGGACCAACTATCTTATTCCTTCAAATTAAAAACATTTCAACCTTCTCACACAAGATGAGCAGAAAGTGAGGATAT